TTTTCATCAAACCTATTATGAATTTCTTGTAGTTGCGAATCTGAAGCTGCAATAAACAAATCAACTCGATAATGACGCTCCATTGTTATTTTTCCACCTTAACGAGAACAACCTTTACCGGCTGTGTAAAGAGTAGTCATATCTGGAATATCAACATTATGCTTCTCACAAAAAGACTTAACCTTTTGAAACAAATTATCCCAACCAGTCAATCTAAAATTTTGTATCAAGTCTTTTGTTGTAGAAACAAGACTCATAGAATTCACTATATCTTGACCACGTCGTTGTAGAGCTTGGCTTTATTTCGCGGTCACCCTCAAAAGTTCCCTCATCAAGTGTAAAATAAAAATGAACTCAAAGGACATTAATGTATCATAAGCAGCATCAGCATTGGCACGTTGTTTACAATTTCCTCCTTTAATAATGGATAGAAGAACAGTACCTGTAGAAGCAAATGTCCTTACTAAACTGTTGATTGAATTCAAATGAGATTTCCATCGAGTATCAGCAGCACGCTGCAAGTTCCCTATTTGATTCAATCCTCTCCCAATTTGAACCTCGTCATTAGCAATCTTGTTTGCTAATTCAACATTTTGTGCAGCTTGTAACTCATCATGTCTTTTCGAAGATGCATCAACTATATTGACTATAATTGCCAATTTAGTGAAAAATTGTTGTATGCGAATCACTTCTGTTGTAGCTCTAACCAAAGCTAATTGAAGCCGATGAGCAAATCAATGAACATAGTATGCATAGGGTGAATCTTTCAATATTAAAGCTTTCAAACCATTAAATTCCCCTCTCATATTAGAAGCTTCGTCATATCCTTGACCACGAATATTTTTTGGGTTCAAGTTATGATAAGACAATACTTTATATAATTCTTGTTGCAAGGTTAATGATGAAGTGTTTTCCACATGAACAAGATCAAAAAATCGTTCTTTTAAAATTCCATCATGATTAACAAACCTTAAAACAATTGCCATTTTTTCTCTTAATGTCCTATCTTAGGATTCGTCAAGGATGACACAAAATTTTGATTCTCCACTTTCCTTTCTTATTTTATCTTACACTTTTTTCGCTAAAATTTGCAAAATCTCCTTTTGAATTGTGGACGACGTTTATGAAGCATTCCCAAAAAACAATAGTCTTAGTTAAATAATGTATGGGAGCACTGAATAAAAATACAAATCCTCTAAAAAAAATTTATAATGAGTACCTGGAGCATTTTGCAAAACGACTTTGTTCACATGTTTGTTGTATGAGGCTATAAATTTTATTAACTCAAGAAAGTTTCCTTGATTCTTAGAGTTAACAATCTCATCATGGCCTCTAAATGGACAATTTTGCAATGCTAGCCAACGAACTGCATCAATTGAAGTTTTTAATCGCAACTTGTTATTCTTAATTTCTTCTTCTATCTGCCCTAAAAGTGCTGGTTCAATATGTTGCTTTGTATTCAACAAGTCATCACATGCCTTTTGATTCTTATTGTGTTGGGAATTCGGACCTTTTGCCATATGATTCAAAAAGGAACAAACTTTTTTCTAATTAGTAAACCCATCATGGGTAAAACATCTGGTTGCTTTATTTGTAAAAAGAAAGCATGGAAAACAAAATGCAGGATCTTTTGATGGAGAATATTCTAACCAAGGAAATTGTTTAAACCACGTTGACTGAAATGAACGACGGTGTTTTTCTGACCCAGAATACGGATAATCATCTTGAATGGGTTGAAACGCTTTTAGTCTAAGATACTCCCTTCTTATTTGCTCATGCTCATTGGGATGATAGTCACTAATTTGTTTGCGTAGTCCGGGATCACGCTCAAGAGTACATGAGGTATTTATATCGTATGTTTCAACTCTTGGAACCTTTTGGGGGTTCTCAGTTACGGGAATTGAAGTAGTAGATCTTTTTTGCCCCTCAAAACTTGTGTTTTGCTCATTTTCATCACTCAAATTACTTTCGGTATTCAAATTTGCCTTTGAAGTGGAACCCTCTTCTTGTTGATTATTAACTTTTTTGTAAAAAAAATCTAGTGTTTTTGATTTCATGATTTAAACTATATCAATATAAAAACAACAAATATCAAATTAAGTAGCATATAACCCTAAAATTTAATCCTAAAGGTACATTCAATAAATTAAAAATTAGCCAAAATTATTAAATAAATAAACATATTAACCAAGTAAACAACTAATCACAATCATGTAAATAACAATAAGAAATTTATTAATTAAATGAAATTACATAATTTTAAAAAATTAATCAAAAAGAAGAATTTTAAAAAATACATGTTTTGGTTGATTTGCTTCTGAAAAATGGTAATTGATGAGTTGAATCTCAAAATATGATTGCCGGCGTAGCTTCGTATTAATTTCACGTTATTAAGTGTATTTGGAGCTTCAGCCAAATATTTGAGTGATGGGATTTGAACCCAGGCTCCTTGGGAAAAAAGCCATCATTACCCAACCAACACTTTAATACTATATATAATAATTTTAAGGGGGGCTAAGAGATATGAATTATGGGCTGCAAATCTAGGTCGGGGAGGTCGGGCCTCCACCAGCCCCCTCTCCTTTCGCCCTTGGTAGAAGAAGTTTCATACGACCCCCACATATCACAATGTATCATTTCAAAAATACGGCTAGCACGACTATCACTTATAGGAAAACTATTCTTGGTTTTCTTAGCTTGAGGACAAATTTCACATGCCTTATGTAAATATATACTACTAGAACTACCTCTAATAGCAGTGAGTAACTTGACAATTTTTTCCGACGGATGCCCCAAACGTCGATGCCACAACTCAAATGTAGAGACCTCCGAACCTGTGACCGCACATATATTTGGGATACACCGGAAATAGTAGACTCTATCTATTCGTTCACTGCCTCTAATTAGGCTCCCCGAGTTTTGATCCTGTATAGCACATAAAGAATTAGTGAATCGTACATAACAATGAGTGTCATCAATCAATTTAGAGACCGATATCAAATTGCAATTTAATTTAGGAACAAATAAGACATGTTCAAGAATAATTCCATCTGCCAAGAATACACGACCCTCCTTTGTAGTAACTGCTTGAGCACCATCGGGAAGGCCAACAGGGCATGGTAGAATGGATTGAATATCTAGTAGAGAGGAGTCGTCATCCGTCAAATGATAAGAGGCACCCGTGTCAATAATACAAGACAAAGAAAAATAATCACCGATCCTCATGTCTAGCGAACAATTGGTGGTGATATTAGTGTATGTTGCTGCCGTAGCGTGAGCAAGGACAGCAGCAGGCGGCGTGTGAGCGGCGGTAGTAAAGGGAGATCTTATTTTATTTAAATCAATTAATTGCTTAAATTATGTGCCGGTCAAAGTGTAACACTAATTAAAACACGGAGTGAGTATTCGTTAAGGTATTTTATTTCTCTCTTTTAATTACGCTTTCTTTATTAGATTTAGTTTTAATCTAGAGTTTGGGAATCTATGTTTAAACAATGAATTTTGATTCATATTATTGATATTTTAATTATTCATATCTCTAATTGATAGTGTTTTATAGCTCATCTTACAACCTGATTAATTGTTTGATTAATTATTGTTAATAAGAGTTTGAATCGAAAGATCATACTTTTAGAGGCATACCTACAATTAGCAATTCTGATTATGCTAGTGACCGCACTACATATGTTGAATTGGGAGCGTTAAGACCAAACCGTAGGCTTAGCAATAGCTCTAGATACTTGATTGATTGACTTATTAATGGTATTTTAATTTGATAGATTTAGAACTATAAGCGTGATGAACCATAACTCTATGCCTTCTTTATTAATTGTATTCTTATTTTAGTTTAGACTACCTTTCAATACCAATTCGTGACATAGTTTAGTTTCTCCAAATCCGTAAAATTAGATTGAATACCGTCTCCATGTGGATTCAAGTCATTCAACCCTACTTATCATACTGCGTTGTTAGTTGGTTTTATTATGAATTTATTTTTGACAGGTGTACGACAATCTATTAGTAAAATAACCTAATCTCTCATATATCTTATACTACATTTTCCTTGGCCTCTTTTCCTAGATAATTTATAGCCCTAATTAATCCCTTAAGTCATTGGAGATTACTGAATGAGAGGAGGTCTTTAAACACGCAAAACGGCTGTCTAGTAGTAAATTAAAGATATTGTCATTGGTATTAAAGTTGACTTTGTCAATTATTCTGAGATTAGGAAAGCTTATAGATTGGATATTGTTGTATTTAATGTGCAAGTGGGGTTAATGGAGTATTTTTAGTATGTAGAACAGAGCAACAATAAAAGGTTAATTAGTAGTGCAGGTGGATTTAAGAAACAAATTCATGTATACAACCCTTAGCTTGCACCCATAGGTAGTCTCTATTTAATTTAATGGTCATTGCGTGCTCATTTAATCATCCAAAAATAAAAAAATAAAAAAATAAAAAATAAAAACCTTGAGTATTTATATATGTATATGTATGTATATGTATATGTAATAATGTTCAAAATTAAAGGGGGGAAAAACAAAAGAATGACCGTGGTTCCATGTCAAAAAAGAATGAAAAATTTTATTTTATTTAAACAGCCAAAAAAATGTCAAATGTTAATCACTAGACAATTCCCGACCCATGCTTGGTCTTTAAAATTATTGATAATTGAAATACAGAATTTCTAGAGAAAAATAACACAATAGTCACACCGTGTGGCCGCTGACACACTCCAAAACAGTGACCGAGTACCCCTAATCGAGTAAGCCCTGACTGACCAAATAGCCCTTGACCGATCGAGTAACCCTTGACCAAATAAATCCTAATCAAGTAACCTCTGACTAAGTAACCCCAGCCAAACAGTATGGCCAGCCACATTTAAAACTTTGTGATAAATATTTAGAAGCGAATGGAGTATTGCGTTACGCAACCACAACGATTGTAAATTTGTAATATCCATATAATCATTAGAGAGCTACAAGCACTGGGCCGCTAGAGTAAGTCCAAGGCCTTATTATTTCTGCTGGACCATTACAAAGAAGGCCTAGCCTGATTCACGCCTAATAAATCATTATCAATCAATTCTATCACAAAGTTTCTAATAGATAGTGAGATTAGGGAGAAAAAAAAAATAAAGAAATGGATGCTGCTAATAAGAACCAAAGTATAACAGTTGGAAAATCAATATTAGTACCAAGTGTTCAAGAGCTAGCCAAAGGATCATTAGCAAAAGTTCCAGAAAGATATGTTCAACTTAATCAAAACCCTTTGATTATACAAGCTGATGATGATCTTCAAGTTCCAATTATCAACTTTGAAACCTTGATCACTCGAGATGGCTTTGAGTTAGAGAAGTTGCATTCAGCATGCCAAGATTGGGGCTTTTTCCAGGTACTTTTGATTTTACTTGTATAAGTTATTTCTTGAACACAATACTTTATTAGATTAGATTAGTCCATATTATGAGATGACTACACCATATGTGCTTGTTTTGACCCTTTATAAGGTGACCCTTTTATGACTCGTCTTGTGATCCTCATCTGATCTGTTTAGTTCATGTACATACATGATGTTTAACACATTTCCCTTTTGTATTCCTAGTGATTGGCTATTATTATTTTCGTATGTACGTTTGAGTGTGTCTAAATATAACTATATAAGTGTGCCTAGACTCGGTTCAGATGTATTGTTAACAAAATAAATTTGGTTGTAACTAAATATGAAGTATAGATAAAGTCAAATTCATATAATACTTTATCCGTTTTTCTTTTGATTTTATTGTTTTGACTTTTATGTTTGTTAATACACAATTTCAATCCTTTTTATCTCTAGTTATTGTAAAAAAAAAAAAAAAATTTAAAAATATCTCACGTGATTATATTTTACCCAACATATAAATCTATTATGAGAGAATGGATTGTGCGAATTTCCAATTGTTGCAACTACAAAAGAATCCTGAGAGTGAAAGAAGTAATAATAGATACTCTCTGTTTTTTTTAATGCATTACTTGGGTTTGCATGTTTGCCGAGAAACAGTTTTAACCATCAATTTTTTTAATCAGACACTAACAAAAATTATAAAAGTAGACATTCTGGCTAACCTAGTAACATATTACATATTAACATTTTTAATATATTGGTAATAAATAAACTTAAATCAAAAGTAATATATAAATAGTCTAAAAATCAAACTATCAAAGTGATATATTTTAAAAAAAACGGAAGGAGCAATTTGAATATTCTTGGATATGATTGATTGTGATCCATTCGTTTGTATTTTAAAAAAACGGAAGGAGCAATTTGAATATTCTTGGATATGATTGATTGTGATCCGTTCGTTTAAAAAACAAAAACAGGATTATATCAATAAAGTAACTAAAGTCTAAAGACAATTCGACATTAATCTTCGGTAATGTTCAATTATTTCAATAGCCCACCAACTTTGCCCAAAATAAAAGAAACAAAACCCACCTAACCCAACAATTGGAAATTTAGACCACTTGACATTTTTAATGACCTCAATGTTTCGTGCAAATGGTGCAATTTATGTGACATACGACCTTCGTTTATTCTATTTTCAATGTCCTTACTTCTTCACACGTTTGTACAAGAATTAAGGTAGATCGAGGAGAACAAGTGTTAGAAGGTAAATGAGTGTATGAAAAATAATGGATTAAAATAAGAGAGACATTGTAAAAAGATGAATAGGTGTAAGTAATACAAAGTGAATAAATAACGTAAGAGAGAGTAAAGTAGGGGTGAGCATAACAGGGCAGGGTACCCTATTAAAATTCTTGAAATTGAAACATGTTGTAACAGGTTCCTCTAATTGGGAACCAGAATCGGTTGAACAAGTTCTTAAAATTGGGAATCGGAACTGGAACCTATAGCAACTGGTTCCGATTCAAGTTACCTTGTCTTGTAATATACCTAATAATTTTTTACAGAGTTAGTTTTTCTTAAAAAGACTAAATGGTCACTAATTTATATATAATGTTTATAAGTTGCAAATAAAACAAACTAATAATAATTGTTGAGCAAATTTAATAAATATATTAATAATTGTAATTTGATATTTATTAGTTACAAAAATAGGTTAGAATTGGTGTAAAATTTGAACTTAAGTGACACTTTTATCAGGTTACATGGTATCCTTCTAATTTGGGTCTAAAAAATCGAGAACTTAAACCGGAATCTGTTGCAACAGGTTCTCCATTTTGCTACTCGGATCCAGAACCTCTTATACAGGTTCCGGTTCAGGGTACCTTGATTTTTCACTCACCCCTTGAGTACGTAAAGTGGATATGGAGTATTTATTTTGGGGTAAGAGGGGTAAGGTAGTAATAGAGAATTGCATTAAAAAAAAAAAAAAAAAAAAAAAAAAAAAAAAAAAAAAAAAACTTACTCGTTTTTTTTCATATTTTATTTATGTTAGGAGCTTCATGTTTGTATTGTCATGCATTTCCGGTAGTATTAACGTCTCTTTCTTTCAAAAATAAAATAAAAATAGTATTAATGTCTCTAAAATAAAATAAAATAAAATAAAAACTTACTCGTTTTTTTTCATATTTTATTTATGTTAGGAGCTTCATGTTTGTATTGTCATGCATTTCCAGTAGTATTAATGTCTCTTTCTTTCAAAAATAAAATAAAAATAGTATTAATGTCTCTAATTATATATGTTGTATTATTAAAAATTTTAAGAAGTTAATGTTTTAAAATATTATATATCAACACTTCATCAAAAAAATAAATATTATATCAACACGAATTAATAAGATTTTACTTATCTATAATTTTTTCAACGTGAAAATAAAAAAAGTTGTCAATCGAGATTCAAGAGTATGTAAATAATTTAATATTTCTCAAGTGACGATTAAAAGAGAACGTAGAAAGTATAAATTATTATTATTATTATTAGTATCATGTGTGGCCATGCGGGCAACACATATATGATTCTTTATATATATAAATACTTTATATTTGCCTGACAAATAAAATGAAAATCTTTTCATATTGAATAATCTAAATACAATGAGTTTAGAAATTTCCTTTTATGTGTCACCAATCACATATTTACTAGCTCCATATCTTATAGTGTGTCTCGTTAAACTCAATAGTGATGCTGCAAAAATATATTTATTTCTGTAATTTAGTATGTACCCATTGCTAGACAAAAAAAAAATTATTGGATTTATTAAATTTCTTATGTAGCAAAAAGGTGATGAACACCTAATGAAATATGGAACAAATTCAAAGAAACAAATGAAGTATTGATTTAGAATGTTGGGTCAAATTTTCTCATTAGTATTCACACACACACATATATCATCATGGGCAAATTCACATACAAAAGTGCCAATATAATCAGTGCAACAAAAATATGGAATTAATAAACGTTCATTACAATTTTATTTTATTTTTTATTTTTTCAAATTTTACGTATCTAGATATCACCATGATATAATTATGTGCAGCTTATAAACCATGGGATTGACACATCATTGCTGGAGAGATTTAAGTTGGAAACCGAAGAATTTTTCAATCTGCCACTTGAAGAAAAGAAGAAATATTGGCAAACACCAAGCGAGGTGGAAGGATTTGGGCAAGCCTTCGTTGTATCTGAAGAGCAAAAACTTGATTGGGCTGATATTTTCTTCTTGACCACACTTCCTAAACATCTACGCAAACCCAACTTGCTTCCCATGCTACCATTGCCTTACAGGTTCGTTCCCTTTCTCCTATCCAACTTTTTGCTATACATATTACTATGTAGTATGCACTCATGCAAATGCACATGAAATACGCCAAGAAAAAATAAAATAAAAAGAAAAACTATGATGGAAGATATGAAAATTTATTTACAAACACAATTTTATGTATATAAGTATAGTTTTTTCAAGAAAATAAAATGCGTAAAAATTGAGGATTGAGGATTTGGAGGATTGTGGTGAAAAATTGGAAAAGTAACTTGATTTTGAATTTAAACAACTTCCTTTCAACAATTTGACCAAATTTTTATTTACGGACTACAATTTTAGTCAAATTGTTGCAACAAAAAGTGAATTAAGTAAATAATTGGCCGTTACATATCTCCATGTCAAGGGTTCTCCCTAATAACTCTGATTAAAGGTAGTAGAAGTGTAGTCTGAATGGGTTTAATAATAATTGATTTAGGATCAACAAATGTAGTCATATCATTTTCATTCATAAAAATTTATTTGTGCAAAATCAACATGTCTAAATAAAATTTCGACCCAAGTCTGTTTAGATATGTATCCTAGTATCCCTAATGAATCATGCATAATTCTACATTTATAAGAAATTTGTATTGTGATCTGCTCTTTCAAATCCAATTTGAATACTTATTGTCGGCAATTCCAACCATAGGGATACTATGGAAAATTACTCAATCCAATTGCGAAACTTGGCTTTGAAACTTATTGATTGCATGTCAAAAGCTCTAAAGATTGACACTAAAATAATGAGAGAAAGTTATGGAGATCATGAGGAAGCGCATCAATCTTTGAGGATGAACTATTATCCACCATGTCCGGAACCAGAGAAGGTCATCGGTTTAACTCCTCATTCGGATGGTGTTGCTCTTACTATCCTTCTTCAATTCAATGAAGTTGAAGGTCTTCAAATACAGAAGGATGGCAAATGGGTTCCTATTAATCCCCTCCCTAATGCCTTTGTTGTTAACATTGGGGATATCTTGGAGGTAAGCAATTTATTAATGTAACGTTGATCATGCGATTTTAAATTATTATTATGAAGTTTTTATTTAAACATACACTTGTTATTTTTTAAAAATAAATATGCAAAGATTTCATTAATTAATCCATGGGCATCTAATGTTGGCTTGGTTTATTTTATTTTTTTTGTACCCCGACAATCCTAACTTCCTAAGCTATATTATCCATACTTTTATGCTCTTCAAATACGCATGTATTATTTTCAAAAATATACTTTATTAACTTTAAACGTATTTTCTCACCATATAATTTTTTTTTTGTTTTTGTTTTTTTTATTTTTTAGTAATTTTAACTTTTATATTCATATCTAAAGTAAATATATTAATGTTCAATGTGTCTTAGATTATGAATAAATTAGATAGAGTATCAATGCATAACATGTTGAATTTGTAGGTAGTCTATTCATCTCGCCCTTGAATTTATTACATATTTAATTTGTTTTCACTTTTTTTTTTGAAACAATAATTTTCATACAAGTGTGTATGTCTTGTTCTTTCCACGAATTTCCATTACCATTCAATATCAGAAGAAGAAAGCATGATTCCACAATTTTTTAGAATATAAAACGTACCAAAAGGGCGCATTTCACATAAATTTTCTAATTCTTAAATTTTTACATGCATGAAGATTATGAGCAATGGAATATACAAAAGCATATTGCACCGGTCAGTAGTGAATGAAACAAAGCAAAGAATATCAGTTGCTGCATTTCACAGCCCTGCTTTTGATAAGGATATAGGCCCTATTCCCAGCTTAATTACGCCTAGTACTCCAGCTCGATTTATACGGGTTAGCGCGACTGATTACTTGAAGGGTTTATTTACTCGTGCTCTTGACGGGAAATCCTACCTAGACGTCATGAGGATCAATAAACATGATGCTTAGTATTACGTACGTATTAGATAAGAAGTTAGCACGAGTTTAATTATAATGTGTAACGATATTTGCACTAATAAGAATTTGATGATTGCATGAGAAAATCATATATAAATCAGTGTAATAAATTAAAGGTTTTGTTTAACTTATTATTTTTGCTTTTAGCTTATCATTTTCCTATGTTTGATCCAAACTGAGTCCGCCTGGAAATTCGTATTTCACTTATTATCAGGTTTAATTATTAACAAAATGAAAATTAACAAAATAAAAATTTAAAAACATACATTAAAATTTAAAAACATACATTAAAATTTAAAATTTGTTGTTCCTTGTTCTTCATCCATGAATCAAAATAACTACATATATATATCATCATCAAACTCTTCTATGATTCGTTCGCTAATTGTATACACACAGTTAAGATCGATAATGGCCGAATTTTCTTATCGTAACTTGTTTGATCCGAAAAATATATAAAAGAGTAATTTGAGCGATCATGTTTGTATATAGGGCATTGACCTATGTATTAGTCCGATAATACCTAAAGAATGTAGTTTAATTTTGTTCTCGCAAGACCTAATGTTTTTTTTTTGACGGGAAATGCTCGAACATTATTAAGCAACAGCAAGATCAAAAGCGATTGCAGTGTTTACATCAGTGGGTGCTTCTTCGAGCCACACACGCATTTCTACATAATTCTTACTAATACGAGCTAAAGTATGAGCAGCTGAATTCCCCTTTCTACCAATATGCGAGTAAGCAATGAACTGACAAGCCCCAGCAAGATGCAGGATGTCATTTACAATAAGACCAAAGTAGGAATTGTCACTCTTTCTGCTGTTAAGGTGCTGGATCAGCTTCAAATTATCAGATTCATGGGTGAGTTTATTAAGACCAGCTTCAAAAGCGACCCCTAGGAAGTGTCTAGCAGCCATAGCTTCAGCGATATCCACATCATAGCAGCCCATCAATTTATGGCAGGTAGAGAGCAGGACATCTCCTACATTGTCACGAACAATACCACCCAGGCCAATAGCTTCATTCTTGAAAATCATAGCATCAGTGTTTAGTTTATGGAAACCAATGGCAGGGGCAGCCAACGTTGAGGCACTTCAGGTCTGCAAATGATCTCAGAGGAGAGAGAAGTGTTTGCCTTCTCATATTCACCAACAATGCTTACAGCTCTTCGAATAACCTCTTCAACCTGAACCTCCTTCTTTTCAAAACACCAAGCATATCTTTTCAGCCATATACCCCAAAGGATACACCAGAAAATATTCCACCACAGTTTTTCCTTCAGAATCCCACCCATATTCGTACACCAAGAAGAAAAGGAGTGTAAGTTATCAGCCTGGAATTGCAGTCTTAAAGGGGACAGGTTCCAGCAAGCCTTAGCTGCTTCACAAAAAATCAGAGTATGCTCAATAGTTTCTGCAGCATCACCACACATCAGGCAAATATCCTCATCACACATTCTTCTTTTCTTCAGATTGTGGCGAACAGGAATAGCTCTTTGCAGCACTCTCCACCCAAAGTGCTTAATTTTTGGTGGGACATGGGCATTCCATGGATGTGCAAGATCGACCTAATATTAGTTTGGACAATTTTAAATCTTAGATTGTATTTTATCTCGGTTTTCTTTTTTTTCCTTAATTGATACTTTGATAGTCAATAAAATTGTCGCCTTTGTTCGAAAACGAACAAGGCCATTACTTAGTAAAAAAAAATATGGATTCTCACTAGTCACTTATTTGTTGTTATTAGAAAATAAATAATGGAAGCTTATTATATCAATAAATCACTTATATGATTTCTTAGGTCACATATTACAACACCCACAAATTACTCTCCGATTATAACTAATATAAAACATGATTTGGAGAGTAATTTAAAGATATTACTGTCACGTGATTACGTAATGCTTTTCAAAACATAGACTTGCAGTGGGAGAAGTACATATTTAACTTTTATTTATTAACTAATAAGAGTAATATTAGCTTTCAAAATTGAACCATTTGAGAACTCTTCATACAAAACATCAACCATGAAACCTAGGCTACATGATTATCACCCATCGTCCCCAATGTCACATTTAGATTATGTCGAGTCATCATCACCTATCTACTTATCACAAATGATAAGTAGGGCAAATCCAAAACAAAAGAAAAATATGTGTTAGCATAAACGCTATGTAAATACCAATGCTAGATACGTAAAATCAATTTACTTATGTAAACATGCTTTTGTAAGATTTAGCATTTGTAGATAATAATTTATTCAATCATTCCATTAATAGAGATTTCACATTTAAAAACGTTTAGAAATATTTCAAAATTATCAACATTCCAAGACCAATGACTTTTCAAAAATAGATTCCAATAGAAATGGAAGATCAATACTTTCATAAATCATTTTCCCAACATAAGTGTGCACACCTCCCCAAGCTAGTGATCTTTACATAGTGCTATAATTAGGGAAAAGACTAGATCATGCATAGCTCATAACCTTATCAATTTTATCTCTGCATAGTGGGAGTCAAGAAATCCAAAATATTCAATTTGATAAATAAATTTGATAAATCAACTTTCCAATTCTCATACATGGGATGCTTTCAATAATAACATTTCCTTTTTAAATAATTTAGTAATCAATTAAAATTATAAACAAGCTTATAAAACATTTAAATATTTAAGATCAAGCAATCGTTTTTATTGAAGAAACATGCTCCAAAAATTTATTTCATAAATCATTATTTAACATTCAAACATTGTATGTAAATCATTCAACACATAAGCTTGTAAAATTCACATTATTAAAGATCTAACCATATGTACGTATATATCTTGATCTTTAATTTACAACTATTCCACCAAAATTTAGAATCACGAACGATCTTCTAAACAAACATTATATGAAGTATTTTAAAAAAACATCAAATATATATGAAAACGTATAAAATCATAAATTAACAATAGATATTAATTTTAGAAAACTAACCACAAAACAATTTAAAGTAACAAGCCTAACGAGAAGGTTCACGTTGGAAAGAAGCACACAGATCTTGCGGAGGGATTATCTCATAGTATATAACTCTGAATTTATTTGAAATGTCATGCTACCCACGACTCACTATTAGCTCCCTCCTTCCATTTCCCTCTATATAAAGACATCAACCAGCATGCCTTCTCTTCACCACAACAAACCAATTCACTCTTTCTAATCTACTCAATACCTCATCACTCTTTTCATTTTTCTCCTCATCAATACTCCCTCCGTTTCTATATGATAGTTCCATATGAAATCAATCACATAAAATAAGAAGATAGAGAAAAATATTTAGAATTTAACATTAAAGTACAAAAACCGTGTAGTTCATAATTAGTTTTGCCTTCTTCAAATATTTTTATTTTTTGTTGGGAAAACATCAGCCATAATTGCATAATTCAAGGGAGGAATTTCCTTATTTAGATCCATGTCATCAATCAACAAACAATTAATTTAACCAATCAAAATTTAATATGTATAAAATAGGAAATAAAAATCAAGTTAAAAATGAAATACATTCAATATGAATAGATCTTTTTGAAATGCGCAAAATAGTATATTATGGGACTAACAAATAAAAACGGAGGGAGTACTATTTAAGTTACTACTATTAGGGCAATCTTTCTTCTACTAAATGCACTAATAACCTACTTAGGGCATCCTTTCGGCGTAAAAATAAATTAAATGAAACAAATCATAAATTCGAATGGTAAGAGGGAGGTGACAGAAGAGAGTAAGCACACATGGTGCTTTTCTTGCATCATTTTTATGCTTGAAGCTATGCTGTCTGTCTGTCTGTCTCCCCCACCTGCCAACCCGTCTTGCTCTCTTCCTCCCCCTTTCCTTCCTTTTATTTTCCTCTTTACCCGTTTTTGCTATGTAAATGAAATAATTTTGAGGTTTTATTATGATGATATTGAATATGATTTTAGGGTTTATTTAATTTTTATTAAATTACAAAGTATTTTATAGTTTTTACTGTTGAGGTGGCTGATCAGCTAGTTGCAATCTAGGTAATATTTGATTGATTAAGGTTGTACTATATAGTAATTATTATTTTTTTTGCAAATTAATTATTGATCTTAGCTGCTAAAAGTTGTATTTTCTGCATAATATTGCATGATTGTTCCTCATATAATGATTAAGAGCAAATGGAGACAGATCAAGTGATAATTAATCAAGCGTGAAAATAGGGAAGCAAATTAAGCCGCAGATTAACGATAGTGATGTTATAGTCAAGGGTTTGCAATGGACTCAAGAACATGGACCATTAGCAACAACTTGTATGCCATGAGGTTTTGTTTACCAGAAAGTTTGTAGTCTTTTAAGTTGGACTAGGAGCATGCTTTAGCTTCTAATTAATGTTTTTATGAGCAAACTAAGGATATTGTTATAACGGATGTTTGCAATGGAACGATTTGGGAACTCACCCTCAAACATAATGTAAAATAAATACCAAAACACGATAATAAAAAAAGACAATGTTTATAAGGAAATTTAGATTTCCTCCCCTTATATAAAAGTACTATTTTATTAAGTTCCTACAAAATAAGACAATAACCCTCTTGATGATTTTTCCTCTAACTTCAATAAACCATCATTGATTTTCACTCTCTAGATGATTTTCCTCCTCAATAAAATCATCATTGATGAACCATCATTGAACCATTATAATTTTCTAGTAAGCCTAAACCCCCTGATATAGGCTAACCCAGAAACCCACATCAATTAGGATATTATACTAGCTTGCTCCCCAAGCCAAAAGAATCCTAGATTTTGATTATATTCCTAAAATCTATGTAGTTTCCTAATTACAAACCTCATCTAACTATGAAAGCGTAAAAGATATAAATAAATAAAAGATACAATATTTCTTTTCCCAAAACAAATCTTAAGGGTATTTGGTAAGTTTAGTTTATTTCCTAATAGATATTAATTTATTTTTTTATTTTTTTTATCATAAAGGGCTACTAATGTGAACAAATATAAATTCAAAATTAAGGAATTGGAATTGGAATTATTTTTATAATTCTTATTGTTTGGGTTGATTGAGATTTTTTGTACAAGAGTATATGTTCATGATTTTAGATTTAATTTCTAATAATTATATAATTAGTCTGTTTACTTTGTTAATCATTCTTCTTAATTTTTCTTTCCTTTTTTGATGGGACATTATGTTCTTGTTAAATTGTCTACTTTTTTTGGGGAAATTCTCAATGGTAGCCTCCAACTATTACGATATCGAAATGGTAACCCTACCTTTTTGGATTTATAAAAAGTAACCCTAATTAAGAAATTTATCCCAATTGTGACTTTAATGAGGGTTATTTGGTTAAAAGATTAAACTATGGTTAGTTTTTTTTTTTTTTTTAAAAAAAAAACAAATAAAATAAAATAAATAAAAAGAAAAAAAAAAAAAAAAAAAACCCACTAACCTCAGCCCTCGCTCATTACTTCTTTTACTTCATTAGCCCTCGCTCTCAAGTGCTAATACGATTCCTCAAGCAATTTCAAAGGATCCAACTACAAAACGAGAATATTACACTCTGCAAACTTAGCTCCATCCATCACCCTTTTTTTTTTGGGAAATTCTCAACAGCGACCCCCAACAATTGCTACGTATCTATGGTAACCCCCCTTTTTTTGGATTATACAAGATGACCCTAATTAAGAAATTTATCTGACATATGACATTAATGAGTGTTATTTACTTTACAAAAAACTAACTATGGTTAACTAAGGTTAAATTATTTAAAAATAATAAAATAAAATCAATTTCAAAAAAAGTTAAATTATTTTTTAAAGAAAAAAATAAATAAAATAAATAATTATTTAAACCACCACCGGCCCAAACCTTCCCCGCCGCCCCTGACACCCTCGCCCCGTGGCTCCGGTCACCAGGATCCCCAGCAGCACCGACGGCTCGCCTGAACCCCCTCCCCTAAAGCACCAAACCGCCTCCCTCACCAAACTAGGCAACGTCACCCTCGAAAACCCCAGGTTCCGACCGTCGTACCCACCCCCTGCCGGAGCACTCCCTTTCCCCGCCGAAAACACCCCCACCCTATTCCCACCTTGCCTCTTCCCCGATTCCCCCTTCCCCTATCCCCCTTCCTCTTCCTCTACCCCCTATTCAATTCGTTAGCTTTTGATTAAAATTAACGTAATTTGAACTTGGTTTTCAGATGAAGATGTGAGTGAAAATTGAAACCTGAGCAAGAACGCTGATAATTGTGTCACGTATTTTAGAAATAGGGTTGGGCACGGCTGTCAGACCACGTGGGTTGGGTTTGGGAAAGGGGGATGGCGTTTCGAGTTAGGGGTTAGCTGGGTTTCGTAAATTGGGTTGGGTGGGGCTGCCAAACCGTGGGGGGTTTCGGGGTTCGGTGGGTGGGGGGCTGCTAGACTGGGTGAAGTGGGTAGGGGGGTCTGATTAAGGTTCTAGGTTAGGTTAGGTGGTAGTGTCATGGTAAGGTGGTGTTGGTGAGGTGGTGGTTACAGAGAAGGTGGTGGTTATGGAGTTTTTCAGCGGTCATGGTAGGAGATGAAAGAGGAGAGAGATTGAAGAAAAGAAAAGGAGAGAGTGGGCTGGCCGGAACGGTGGAAAGTGAGGGGAAGGAGGAGAGGTTGGCCGGAATCAATGGGGGATCCGGGGTTGGGATTAATTTTTTTAATTTTTCGTTTTTTACAAAAATATAAATATAACCATAGTTAATATCTAATGAAATAAGGTTATGAGTGGGATGAAATTGTTAACTAAGGTCATCTTGTATAATCCAAAAAAAGGGGGGTTACCATTGGTGCGTAGCAATTGTTGGGGGTCGCCGTTGAGAATTTCCCCTTTTTTTTTAACTCCCTTAATTTTTTCCTCATTGATCCGAACGTACAATTAGCCCATGAACGTAAAATTTTAATCCCACACAAAATAAATATTTTTCAAATTTAAAATAAAATGTCTAGCTACATGCTTATCATTGGAGTGAAGGTTTTATGTCTTCGTCATGTGCAATTACTAGATATATAATGGATCAAATTATAGAGTTAATTAAGTTCATTCTTTTGGGTCTTCGTTTTAACATAGCTAGAGGTATTTACGACTTTTGGACTAGTAAAATAACCCAAAACCCAATTGAACGGATCCTATAAGGTCACTCAAAGGGCCTAGATTGAGCATAGGAGGAAAAGGCCCATGTTGGGCCTCATCTCTCTAGGTGGTCGACCATGTGGGATGGTTGGGAGGGTTTCGAGCTTTCTTACCTAGTCTAATTATAATATGATTATAAATGGACTAGGTCCTAGGATTTTAGATACATAGTTGACTGTTAATCAAACCCGAGTTAGCAAACACGAAACTAGCCCTCTCAAACTCTCTCTCTCTCTCTCTCTTTCCCTTTCTCTCTTTCTCTCTGTCCTCCTTGCGCCGGTGTATGTTCGGTGGTGGTGGTGGTTCGTAGTGGTGGTGGTTGTCCACAAAGGTGGTGATTGTGGTGTTTCCTCCTTCATCTGACCAATATAGCATTGGTGGACGGCTAATTCGAATCCCGTGGACTAAGTAGAGGAGCAACGTTACGGGCTCTAAGCTATTCTCTCCCTAATTGTCAGTCAATTGCAATGTGGAAATCACGCTTCAAAGGTATAATTATGTGATTCTTGTGTGTTATGCATGCGATCTTGTTTTAGGTGCGTCTGAATGTGATTCATGAAATTCTTCTTAGAGTGCCTAAATCCCTATTGTGGTATCAGTTTCTCTTGCATGAACACGCTTGATTATAATAATACGATTATTTTGAAGTTCATGTTCATAATTTTATAATCAATTAAGAGGGAGAATTAATTTAATTATGGGTCAATTATTATTTTAAATGTGATTTAACGCTTGGAATTGATTAAATGTGATTTAATTTTGCTCAATATACCCTAGAAAGGACCGAAATTTTTACCTTAATTGGTTCGAAAATTTCGAACCCTAACCCTAATTTTTCCAAAAATTTCGAACCTAATAAGCCCTAAAAATACGATTTTATGTGCTTGTTTTGTTCAATTTGGTTTTAAATATGTTTCATGAATTTAATAGCATTGATTTGATATATAAATTATGAATTTTACATGATTAATGAATTAATTTAAGTGTTAAATTAAATTGGGATTAAATTTCATGAAGAACTCTAATTTAAAATTGAATAGAGATTTTATTTTAAAATTCTTGGACTGATTTTGATTTAATTTTACAAAGGTTGTTTTAATTAAATA